AATTAAAAGAAATTGAAAATAAAATAACCAAGGAAATATGCAATACTATTCCTACTGCTTTGTGGGATAGAAAAAAACATGTGGTAACTCTTCTTTATATTAAGGAATTTAATGAGGCAAGGTCAACACAAATTAATAAAGAATATTTGAAACTTTGTAAAAGTAAAATTGATTCATTAATAAAAAAATCCTTAATTCGTAAAAACTACTCTCCTTAGAGTTTTGCGGCATTTTATGTTAATAATAATGCAGAAAAGGAACAAGGAGTTCCTAGATTGGTAATCAATTATAAACTTTTAAATAAGATGTTGCAGTGGATTAAATATCTCATATCTAATAAGAAGGATTTATTATCTCGATTATATAACGCTAAGATTTTTTCTAAGTTTGATCTAAAATAGGATATTCGCAGATTCAAATTGCAGAGGAAAACAAGTATAAAACTGTTTTCAAAGTACCTTTTCATCATTATGAATGGAATGTTATGGCTTTCGGACCTAAAAATGCCCTATCAAAATTTTAAAATATTATGAATGACATATTTAATCCTTGTTATGGATTTTGTATTGTTTATATTGATGATATATTAATCTTTTCTGATTCTATTGATCAGCACTTTAAGCACTTAAATAAATTTATTCAAGTAGTAAGAAAGAATAGATTAGTTCTTTCTGCTACTAAGCTGAAATTATTCCAATTAAAAATTCATTTTTTAGGACATTATATAGAACAAGGGCGTATAGTCCTGATTGAAAAAAATATTGAATTTGCTTCTAAATTTCCTGATGAAATTAAAGATAAGAAGCAATTGCAAAGGTTTTTGGGAAGTTTAAACTACTTAGCAGATTATTATAAAAAAATAGCCCAAGGCACTGCTATTTTATATTCCAGATTTCAAAAGAATCCATCTCCGTGGACAGATCTTCAAATGATGTCCACATTCGGCATGGGCAAAACTGAGAAGATGGACATCATCTGAAGACGCACTTCGTCCATTACTGCTGCTTTAAGCTACTCGGTTGCTAAATGAGATTTTTCTTTAAGAAGCTTTTCTTTAAGAAATTCAATGAAATTAAATCCAGTATTTATACTGGTGCTAGGAATCATTTCTTTGAAGGTTAAGTCATCATTTTCCAAGTCTTTAAGACACTCCGCTATAATTGAAATTTTTATATCAAGCGAATAATTATTCCAAAATCGGACTTGGTATTTCCTGATTAGTCTGGGATGTCCGTTGTGATTAAAGTCACAAGTAAGAGTCCACACTCAAATCCATGGAACAAAAAATTCGAGTAAGAAATTTAATTAGAGGTTTAACCTAAATTTTATTATTAAGGGTGAACTTTTTTCTTTATATAAGTCAAATAATTTTCTCATTTCAATGGATATATCCCTTCAATGGCACCGTGAGTATCCCACCAGTAGTAAAACTAGTTAGGAATCTTAATACATGTTTTTGTGAATGTAAAATGCCATGTGTCCCCTAAAGATGGATTATTATAAAGAAATGCATTATACCAAGCATCAATATAGTCGAAGTAATTATACTCTGTATAAGAGGTTTTATTAAAGTTATGGGAATTAAGATGGATTTTTAGGATCCTCTCTATTTTTATAGAATCTTTCGAATTCAATAGGATCCGTTTCTTTAAGAATATTCTCAAAATATACTCTAGTTTTATTACCGGTGACCAAAAAGACTTTATCCATGATCATAAACTGTTTCGCAATATAATATGGATCTGTCATCCAATTAATATATTCATCTTCTAAAGTCATAATACTGCTATAAGCAGGTAGAGTATGTAACTTTGTATAATTTAATTTTGGTTTGACTATTAAGGCCTCCTTTATTGATTTTTTACTTCTTATGACAGTATAACCGTCCTCATCAATCTTGTCTGTCCTTCTTTAAGAAGTTGTTTACTTACAGCTTTAAGTTGTTTAGATTCATTAAGTGGAGGATAATAAGCATTGATCTGGACTCTTCCCCCACCTCTTCCTCTTCTGCGACCTGGACCACGGTTACTACTCCGTCCTTTGTTCATAAGAAGTTAAGAACCCTACTAAAATTCCCTTGCTAGAAAATCAGGGAGAGAATTTAATTTTCCTTTAACATATTCAATCTTGAAATCGAAGACCGAAAGAATGGTCAGTCATCTAACAAATATTTGTTTAGAAGCAATGTTCTTACATCCTATTCAATAATATTTTTAGCAGAACTATAATCAATTATTCACAAAAATTCCTGATTTAGCATATCATCTTGAAATTTACTAATGCATTTAACAATAGACAATAAAATTTCTTTTTTAAAAGTAGAATAATTTAATTGAGTAGATCGTCATTTACTCGAGGTAAATCTAACAAGTAATTTTTTATTAGTATTGGGATCTGTTTGTTTTAGAATACCTCATGCATCAGTTTCAACAATCTTATACCATTTTGAATTTACCAATGAAAAACATGGTAAATATTTATCTTTAAACTTAATTTTTCTTAAAGCTTAAGTGTGAAGATATGTCCACGGAGATGGATTCTTTCAACGTCTGGAATATAAAATAGCAATGTCTTATGCTAGATTTTTACAAAAATCTGTTAAATAGTTTAAACTTCCCAAAAACCTTTACAATAGTTTCTTATCTTTAATTTCATCAGGAAATTTGGAAGCAGTTCAATACTTCTTTCAATCGGGGTTATACTCCCTTGTTTAATATAATGTCCTAAAAAAAAAATTTAAATTTGAATAATTTCATCTTAATAGCAAAAAGAACTAATTCATTCTTTCTTACTACTTAAATAAATTTATTTAAGTGCTTAAAGTGCTGATCAATGAGATCAAAAAAGATTAGTACATCATCAATATAAACAATACAAAATTTATAATAAGGATTAAATATGTCATTCATAATATTTTAAAATTTTGATGGGGTATTTTTAAGTTCGAAAAGCATAACATTTCATTCATAATGACCAAAGGGTACTATGAAAGCAGTTTTATACCTGTCTTCCTAAGCAATTTAAATCTACCAATATCATGATTTTAAATTAAATTTAGAAAAAATCTTAGCATTATATAATCAAGATAATAAATTCTTGTTATTAGGAATGAGATATATAATCCATTGCAACACCTTATTTAAAGGTTTATAGTTAATTATCAATCTAGGAACTCCTCGTTCTTTTTCTGCATTATTATTAACATAAAATGCTGCACAACTCCAAGGAGAGTAGCTTTTACGAATTAAGGATTTTTTTATTAATGAATCAATTTCTTTTTTACAAATTTACAAATATTCTTTATTCATTTGTGCTGGTCTTACCTCATTAAATTCCTTAATATAAGGAAGAGTTACAACATATTTTTTCCTATCCCAAAAAACAGTACGAATAGTATTTGCATATTTCTTTAGTTATTTTATTTTCAATTTCTTTTAATTTACTTCTAAATTCATGAGTGTTAAGTTTATCAGACATACTTAAGATTTTAACATCTTTTAAAAAATTTAATTGATTCTCCTTGTGAATCAAATTTTCTTTTATTTGTGGTGGAGTTATGAATTTGCTAACCTTTTAAAGTAGTTAAAATTCGTTTGGAGTCTATTATTTCTATAGGTTCAATCATAGATAAGAATGGTATCCCCAAAATTAATAATTGATTTAAATTTGCTATAAGCATAAAGGTGGTAGGAATAAAAATTCCTTAATTACAAATGTAAACATTCGAAAGTTTAAATCTTATATTTAATTTTGAACCATCAGTTGTGCTTAATGACTGAGTTGTTTTCTTAAAGTATTTTGTAGAATTAATCATTATTTAATGCAATTCATATCTGCTCAACTATCGATTAACACAATAGTTTTAACAGTAAATTCTAGATTTATTACAAGTATAATTTTACCACACCATTTTTAAAAAATTTATTTTTTCTAATACGTTTAAGTATTCATTATAAGAGTTTAACTCTTTTGAATCCTCAGCATCCTCTTGGATAATTGGCATTTTTTCTAATGACAGAAGTCTTTGTTTTATTATTTTTATCCCAACTTTAAGTTGATTAACTTCTCCTTTCAAGTCTTGCAACGAAGATTCATTTTCTTCAATTATCAGTCTCAGATCTGTTTAAAACTTCCTTTAAAGAATAAGGTTGTGCAAGAGAAGGTTTCTTCTCTTTTGAAGTTATTTCCAGATATTGTTCAATAGCTTTTTTTTTAGATATTGGGTCTTGAATTTGATCTATAAGATCAAGAATTAATATTTGTGACTTAGTTAAAGTATCTATACTCAATCCATTTATATCGAGAATAGCTTTATAAAACTTAGTTTGTGTTGTACAGTGTGATGAACAGGTTTTATCTTGTTCTGATTGATCTTCATCAGATGATGAATTACTTATTTCATTTTCAATATTATATTTTGCTGGGAATAATAAGTTATATAATGAAGAAGACTTAAAATAAGTGTCGGAGGATGTTAAGATGGTACAACCAGCAAATATAGAATAAAAATAAATGCATACACAAAATGGTAGCAATAGCACTAATTCAAAATAAATTGAAAGAATAGACTAAGATAATCAACCAAAAGATACTCTAGTAAGGAAGAGTGCTATGATCAACCGTCACTGAAAATGCTACGGAAAGGGATAGACTAAAATTGACATAGAATGACACCAGGAAACAGTTATGGATATTTGTAATTTAGTTGAGCACATTCTCATGGGTTAGCAAGTGATTGTGTAATCCGGGGTTTACTCTGGGTTGGGTCCAATGCGGGCTTGCCTTGGAGAGGTTCCTCATCATGAAAAAAAAAAAGACAAACATGGATTCGTAGAGCCGACCCCATATAAGTGGGATATGGTTTGGTTTGGCCTGAAAGTAAGTGTCCTTAAAATCACGAGCAAAACTCAATCCTATGCAATCAATGCTTGAAGAGGTGCTCCCGCAATTTAAACCCGAAGGGAACAATTACAACCCAATATATGACTTCTTACCGTATCAAATTGCAGAACTGAAAGAGACTGATATCGGAACCAAAGGTGCAAAAGCCGTATGCTCATCCATGTCAATGCCAACACGGGATATGCTGTCAAAAAGCCAGGCGTATCCTGCATTATGGTTCTGAACTTAAATATACTAAAAATTCTTTAATCAATAAGTTGGAGTTCGTATCAAGAAATGCACACATCACAGCAACAAATTTCATGACATACCAGGAGGAGTACTCCAAGAGAAAGGCCAAGCAACTGAGCAGCTACTTCCCAAACTTCCTCCTGCCAGATTTAGTCTAATTTATTTCTCAAGAGAACAGTGTCAGCAACATTACTTCTTGTAAACTGAGTCTAATCAGTATTTTAACTTTATCACCGACACTGAGTTTAGACACACACGTGTAATCAGTAGATCAAGACTTCTGACATGGTATGCATGATGGACTAATAATGGAAACTCAAACCTAGCTAGCATGCTATCCGCTAAAGAAGATCCTTGCATGGAAGGAGAGATCCATACTTCCAACTAACATTATAGATATAGGAACCAAATCAACATTTCTCGCCAAGGTGCATAGATTTTGGGCAGAAGGATATACCACTCTAAGAAAGAGGACCCACCTTTATCACGGATTGAATGCATTATTAATGAGTGGAGTTATTCTGCAATCATTATATACATTGAGTATTCTGTAAAAAAGGTGTGTCAGACATGAAATCCAGAAGCATGCCATCTTTGCACTTTTCTTCAACCTTATGTTGATCCTAGGAAGCAAAGGGAATGACAATGTGCAAGTAACCAACCGTTGAGACAGTAAAATGAAGTTTAAAGCATATATCTACAACTTCCATATTCATTTCAAATTCTCATGCCTCAGACATGAAATCCAGAAGCATGCCATCTTTGCACTTTTCTTTGACCTTATGTTGATCCTAGGAAGCGAAGGGAATGACAATGTGCAAGTAACCAACTGTCAAGAAAGTAAAATGAAGTTTAAAACATATATCTACAACTTCCATATTCGTTTCAAATTCTCATGCCTCCACGAATGAAACACTGCTTATTTTCAGCACACCAATGTAAAGCTACACCATTACCCAAAGACCCATAGGTACATCCTTATTACTCACTATATATGAAGTAACAGCACTACAACAGAATAAATATAATATTGGGACATACCTTTGCTGATACCTCTCCCAGATTTCCTGAGACTGCAAAATGGTTTTGTATCACTCGAAATGAAGGATCTTTTAGTCCCCTTGCCACAGCCTGTTAAAATATTATCTTTACATATCCAGGATAAAATCCTTGAAGCATTGGAATCATCATCCATCATATTTCTCAGGAACTTAATCTCTGGAAATATGCATTGGGTCTCTGGAAATATGCATTGGGTTTGTGATCCTCTAACTAATTAAATGAACAAGATGTCCGAAATTAGGGAATGATGGGTGCAGGGTACAGCTAAAATGGCATTACGAAAAATACCTGTGCAAGGTTTCCAAGAGAAGCCAGTAGCAGGAAATAAACAGGATATAATGGAGTACTTAAATCAAAAATGCTGCCCAAAATATTAACAAATCAATGGATTCAGTCATTCAATTAGTATCAATTCATAAAAGTACTCATTCAGTTATTCCCAAAAACAAAAAACACAACAGAAAAAACATGTATCAGATACCTTCCTGCACTGCCAATGAAGTCTGCATACATGCGCCACTGCTTTGGATCATCGTCAAAAAGATTGCCAAACCGCCCACCTGGAAAAAATAGCAATTACTACTGGTAACATTCTAAATATCCCTTTTTTCCTTTGGGCTTGGTTGATTAATACCAACCTATAAATAAGCGCCCAACAGCACCAATACCATCCTTTGACACCCATCTACAGAAAAATTTAAAAACCAATATCTTTATCTAGTAAACGACTTTGACATTGAACAGAATGGCTCTCTTAGCCTTTTAAATATGCAACATATGTCAAAATATCAGCAAAAACAATAAAAAAAACTATATGAGTTCTTCAAGTTTGATTCAAAGGCCCATAATATGCATATGTTGTAATTTCTCTGAAGACAAACAGAAATTGCCACGAAACATTAAAAAGTAGCTGATGTTCTACCAAGAATGATGTAAGTTCACCTAATAGCAGCAGCAGAAGCAGCAGCAGTAGTTCCCGAGAAAGAGCCCACGCCAACAGCCTGCATCATTACAGCATAAAAATTAGACTGACGAAGACAAGCACAAATAAGATGTATCTTAGATGCAAGAAGAAGATAATTAAAACAACATTATAGTTCATAAGGAAAGGAAAACAAAAGAAATCAAAATGGCACTTGCCCATTAGGGAATGAAAACATCAAAATTTGACAGTGTCAAATGCATACACACACACACACACACCAGGCAAATTTCACAAGCCATTATGCCAGAATAACAATAACAGGCAACTTTTAAGCAGAAGGTACATCTTAATACAATTCAGAGAACAATATTATGAGAATTACACTACCAAAGCAAGACGATAGAATCTTCTGTAACATAACATTATGTAAGGCATACGATCCAAGAAACAATTAGAAGATTTATTAGTTTGTAAACTCACATACCCAAACGGAATTAACAGCCTGAGTTAGATTGACATGCCTTTAAGAGACTTGAAGTGACTAATGCGTGACAGATCCATCCAGTAACATTGGTAGGGAACTGTAACAACATGTATTCCAGGTAATCATCTGAAACTGATCCTGCATCAGATGGGAAAAAAGGTTCTAATACAAAACATTGGTAACAAATAAATGGCCCAATAAAAAACTTTGCCTAGACTTGGATATTACATTAAAATCTTCCCTGTAGATCCAACACCTCAATCCTCTTCCTCCCTATGACAAGCTAGGGATTGCGTGGGGGAGGGCAGAATGGGAGGTAGGCTTTTAGGTCAAATCACACTTAATTGACAACATTATGAAGCACTTTATCAACAATCAGCGATTCGTGTATGTCACGAGCAATGAGCCTTTTTTATTCTCATTAATAGTTATCAATTTTTTTGTTCAACTGTTATATTAGTAAACACATAAAAGCTTGAATAATAAGAAACCGGTATAAAAAGATAAAGATGATCTTGATTATCACCTGGGTAGCCTGCAGGTAATACAAAATCTTTGATAGCGTCGGGAAGCCAGGATAATTCCAGAGGGGATATATGTGAACCTTGGAACCCATTATCTTTGGAGTCACGCTTCTCAAGAAATGTCCTTAATAGCAAGTCCTCATCTAATACATACCTGGTTAACAGCACCACAATACAAAGGAAAGATTCACAGACCACAGTCTAACCAACCACTTGCAGGCAGATATACAGCATACGTGAAATTCATGAGCATGCTTAACCAAGATTTACATAATTAAATATCTACACAAGCTAGAAGACGAGGGTTCAAGTTTGTTTGATCGATGTTTGCATTGCATTTTAGAAGTATAAATTCTGGTTTTAAGATCCGAATGGAGTTGCTTTTATATTTACCGAACAAAGTAAGATAAGTACTTCCAAATTAACTTAACCGAAACGTAACCAAAAAATACCTAAATTATAAAGGAACAAACATCAAAATGGACAGAAGCTATGCCAAAAAGACCTCTTGGAAGTGCCATTTCCATATCTTTCCACTAAAATCTCACGCGGTTGGCCTTCTTCCCTGTAACAAACAACCACAAGAAAACATTGAAGCAATCATGTCACAACACATACAGTAGGAGCTATTCGTTGGATTTCTTCCCCCCTAAACCCCCAAAATAGAAAAATCAAACTGAAAAATGAATTCAAGCACACGAAGCTTGGAATTCGAAACAGTACCTCCTATGTTCGGAATCTTCTTCAGCTTCTCTTCCATCAGAATTGGAATGTCGAGCTGAATCAGAAGAGGTACATAGAATTTGGATGCGCTTGAATCTCTGTCGTCGAACTTTTCGAGACGATTCAAACCCCAAGTTCGGAACCGAGAGTTGCAAAGTATAAGACATTCGGACGAATACTAGGATTAATTAGGGTTAATGTTGGGGATGAATCGAGAAAATAGTTGCAGAGAAATTTCTCTTTCTTCCAAGTGAAAGAAAGAACTTCAAGTACAACGAGACCGAACAAACACAACCAAAGCATGAAGAAGGCTGAGGTCAAAATGCATTTTGGGCATGGGTGGCTCTATCTGGCATACAAGCACCTAGATTTGCAATACAGACCCACTCCACACACCGTTTTATGTTCCTTATCCATCGAGCCCAGCCCATAAATCAGTGCCAGGCCCAGAATAGTGATCTATATGTTTTGGGACGCATGAGACCAATCTGGTCCAATCCGGATAGGTTTTCGTCGACGTAGTGAGAAAAAATGATGTGACATCATAATACTTAAAAGAGTAGAGAAAAATTAAATTTAAATTTAAATAAAATAAATATTATAATAGTCTGCAGTTTAACAAAGACTATAAAATTATTTATGGAGCACAATGTTGAGACATACTTCACCTGAACTATCCGAAAAAAGTAGGACAAAATTTTGTTAAATTTTATGTCGATAAAAATATGAGTAAACTACACGTATAACTCCTAAACTATGACATAATGTTAGTTAAGTCTTTGAATTTTTTTTGTGTCTATTGAACTTTTGAACTCTCTAATTGTGTTAATTGAATCATTTTATTTGCCTCCGTTAGATTTTCTAACAAAAAGTAACATAATTTGTTACTCACATGATACAAATGATTGGAATAAATTACACATGGCCCTCAAATTATGACTCTTATATCAATTAAGCTCTTAAACTTTTTTTTTTTTGTCAATTAAACCTCTAAACTCTCTAATTGTATCAATTAAACCAATTTTTACCTTTTTGTGTCATGTTAACACATAAATGACACACTCTATCGAAGGTAAACAAAATGACTCAATTCATAGAATTAGAAAATTCAAAAGCTTAATTGATGCAGATGTCAAAAAAAAATTGTTCATTGAACCTTTAAACTCTATAATTGTGTTAATTGAGTTATTTTCTCTACCTCCGTTAGATTTTCTAACGAACAGTAACATAATTTGTCACTCACGTAATACAAATGATTGGAATAAACTACACATGACCCTCAAACTATAACCCTTGTGTCAATTAAACACCTAAATTTTTATTTTTATTTTTATTTTTGTCAGTTGAACCTCTAAACTCTCTAATTGTGTCAATTGGGTAATTTTTTTGTCTTTTTGTGTCATTTAGTCACATAAATGACACTCTCTATTGGAGGCAAATAAAATAACTCAACTGATACAATTAGAAAGTTCATGAGCTTAATTGATACAAAAGTTATAATTTGAGGATTATATGTATAATTTTCTCAAAATATATTGTATGTAAAACAAAATGACCGACTTAACCATAATATAGAGGTGGCCATAGCCTAGGTTGAAGCGAGCTTGGACTGAGCAACATTTTATGTCAGACCAGGTATAGCCAACCTGGGGCCAAGCGTGCACAGCCTAACCCCAGCCATAAGCATATCTCGTAGCCCAAGTTCAGGCAAGTCCGCCCACTGTATAATCATCACTTCACTCTTCACCTGTTTCTGAACTATAGAATATATTACAATAACTGGAAAGATATGCCAAGTTCACTACTAACTGTGTATTCTCAGACTTGTACAACTGATTGCACTACAAAATGAGAGGCTGGATCAGATCACTTAAAGCTCAAGTACTCTCACACATCCTACAATTATTTTGGCAGGACATGACTCCCATGAAAAGGTAAGAGATACTTTTGCACGAGATATGCAAAGAATTGGCAAGAAAAGATCGTTTTACGATTTATGAGCAAAAAAATCTAGGTCGGTCACACAATCCCTATTCAGTAGCAGTCTGCTTTTGTTTCTTGCGATTTTCATCCATGATTCTTTGAAACTCTTTCTCACCAGCAGCAATCAGACGCTTAACACTGTCAAAGGTTGTAAGCCTAATGCTGCCATTAAAAAACGCATGTGAGGCAAGGAAACTAAATATAATACGGAGAAGAATTATGCATCAGAAAGTGGTGAGTAATTTAAGTATAAATTTGTGGCAAGTTGATTAAGTATGATGGCAATGCAATAGACATTTGCTTGGGCGAACAGCCTACTTATAGAGGGGAATATTGCTGAACTCGACCCAAGCAAATACCCTCGCAAACTGCAACTCACCAAAAACCCAAACAGAAACAGAAAGCCTCGTCTACCTAATTGAAGACATAATAACAAACAACATAAAAGGACTTCCACGAAAAAGAAAGAATAGATTAGATATATATATTTTTTTGAACATAGATAAGATATTAGATACATATAAAGGGACGTGAACCTGCTATTTGGCAGAGTCTTCAATGCATTGGGCACAAAACCCCTGTACAATCCAACTAAACCATCATGTGCCACAATGCCTGTCTCAAAAAAATCCAAGTAAGCAATAATTAAGTAGTTGCTTGTTAAATAGATCAGAAACTCAATTCTTCAACAAATATGTACATACAAAAAAGAGGGGTTTAATGATACAAGCAAACTTCAATAAATTTTCAAAGATGACGTGCACTACTAGTAACACTGAACTGTGTTATGTTAAATAAACTCACTTTTAAAACCTTCTGGAAATCAATAAATGTGAAAGTCATCATAAAGAAGTGAACTGGTGATAAGGCCTCAAGCAGCAGATCTTACTCAAGGAATACAAAGAAGAGGAACACCAAAAAGGCTAAGTATCCTTAGAAGTCCGTTAACTTAGAAAGTAAATGGAATGATACACCATCCTCCTACAAGAAAGAAAACTCTTCTGGATATCTGCCACTTCAATACATGGAATTCAGCAAAACAGATCACCCTAATCTCAGACCAAGCATACATACCAAATGGGTAAAGCAGAATCACAAGGATCATGAGGTTTGTACTATCTTTTATGCAATGCATATTATAAACTGCAGGTCCACCCTGAGAAAGGACGTATATGTGCTTATTTGAATGTGCAAGTGAAATGCTTCCAACTTCCCACCAACCAGGAATTTTCAAATTTAAGATTATCCAGTGAAATTAGTTTACCACCGCTAATAACAACCAATATTTAGCATCAGTTCACCTGGAAAGGCATCCAAAATTGTCTTGTAAGGTGTACCCTTCATCTGCATTTGCCTTCTGACTGTGTCCAGAGGATAGCACGTGACTGTGGCAATAGTAGCTGACACCAAAGCTGTTAATAGGGATGTTTCAGTCCTCTTTTGATACTTCTCTGGCAAAGATTTCTTCACCCTGCCATTTATCAGATATCAATATTAGGATAATTTGTTGGTGTTCTTCCTCAATAAGCACTAAAACGGAATTGTTGAAGTTATTTCCCCTGGGCCCAATCCCCCTCCCAAAAAAAAAAAGAGAAATGGTAAGGATTGCTGGAAGGGTAAACTTACAAGTCAAATACACAAAAGTTCACAGCTATGTAAGGAGCTATTCCAATAAGAGATGGTCCAAGACCATTATAGAAGGATGCAACTCCTTCCTCTCTCAGCATGTTTAAGGCAACCTGCAAATGATTCAGTAATACCCATAGTCATATTGAGAGCTCTAATTGTCATAGTTACATGTTACTATATTAGGTTAATCGAACTCACCTCTGTCATTGTGCGGTACCCGGGTTCAACAGCCAACCGTAATCTGAGGACATCTAGCGGGTATGTAACCTGTAAAGTGACAATGAGTTAAAAGGAGCAAAACTTCAGAGTGCATATATAGATACGAAAAACAGAGAACATAAAGATGGACAAGAAAGTAATAACATAAAACAATCCAAATGACACATACAATCGGTAGTGAATGTATGGATTTTTATTATCAACATATTTTTCCCGGGAGAGGGGGCACACTACACTGTATACAAACACATTGATTGCAATAGATTATAAGATGATAATTTCAGCATGTTCCTTCTATATAACTTACAAAAGTTGAAGTCATGCCAGCACAAGCACCTGCTGCTAGTCTTCCAATAACAGAGAGCTCACCATCCTTTCCCCTAAAAAGTTTCTGGAAATTGAATTGGTAAACTTAATAATCCAATGTCTCAAACAGATTAATTTCAAAAATGCACATTTAAATCGTTCACATGAATTGTTTTGTTTTTTTGAAAGTGGTTTCACAATACCTTGTAGGTTTCATAAGCAAACAGCTGGACGGCACTATAGGGTATTATGCGTATGACCTGAAAAGTTGAAAATGAAATATGTGATGGATAGAACTCAACAGAAACCTTATTTGAATTACAAGAAAACACTACTCATCCATGACATTCAGAAAGTGAATGATGCAAAGACCTGAGGAAGGTTGCCCTTCCAGTACCCTTTAATTCCTTCTTCCTTTCCTATCAACTTAATTGCCTGCAATTTATAGCCAGGTATACACCATCAGTGTGGTGCATGAATACCCTATCACTAAACCTCAACTTAACATGTAAGATGAAACGAGTACAAATACAGCAACCTAATATATCTGTGCAACAATGTATAAACCACTGATGACTTGCCATATATGACTGAAAAGAAAAGCTAAAAAGAAACATAAAAGATGTAATACAACCGGCATTCACACACAAGATAATTATCAAGACTAGCCTTTATACACCTGCAATATATTTTAATTTCTCTTTATGATATTTTAGATTTACTTTACCCCATTGTGCAGCACAAGTGCATAAAATACCTTTCCAGGAAAAAAAAAAGTAGCTGCATAAAATATTAAGTATGTCTGCTAATGAAGATTTTCAAAGGGGAGATAGAAGCCCAACTACCACAAAATCTTTGAAAAAGGTGAGATAAAAGCCCAACTACCACAAGATTTCTGCTAAGATTTCAAAGGTGAGACAGAAGCCCAACTACCACGAAACCTTTGACAAATATTCNAAAGCCCAACTACCACAAGATTTCTGCTAAGATTTCAAAGGTGAGACAGAAGCCCAACTACCACGAAACCTTTGACAAATATTCATAAATCCAATTACTCTTTAATATAGGAATGATTGGGATCTGAAACCAGAAGCTAACTAAGCTTGATTAAATCATTAAGCGAATGGATCCATAAAGGATCATGAACTAAAGTATAGTTAAAGTACGATCTCAGACAAGAACGATATCTCGATGATGGATTTTCATTACCTCCTCCAGAGTTCAAGGCTGTAAATTTCTTCCACTTATTATGACTATCAGATTGTGGTATTCTCTACTCAACTCAATCCATCAATGGCATTGCAACAGGAGAAAAATGAAGGTGAAAGATGTCTACACTTCAAAATCTTCATAAAGATTAAAAGGGTTTGCACAAGACGTGCATCTTTCCCCTTTCAATGTTCACAAAACATAAATGCATATATACTTTTTACAACTTTAAAAAAAGTTCAGGGAATCTGTGCCTAGCATTTAGGCTCAACAAAGATACTTAACATGAACCATATACCTCAATGAACCCAATACTCTTCTTAGCACTTTCTTGCCCAGCTCTCAATCCATGAGTCTGCAAAAAGATTATTTTGGTCACTACAAAGCAAAATTTCTGGAAAGCATAAAACAGAAAGAAGAAGAAGCACAATTCCTGATTAAGCTAACAAAAGCTTGTTGACATACAAACCTTGCTCCAGACTTCAAAAATAAAAACAGAAAAAAAGGTATAAATACCGCATTTGCATGCAGTTAAACAAAGTGGACCTGAATGCTGATTCTTGAAATTTCCAATGAAGCTAATTTACAAGTCTAGTCTACAATTAATATTTTACATGTTAAATGAGTAAGAATTATGAAGACCAAAAGAACCAAAAGCCTAAAGACAAAGAAGCTTTGCCATGCAGACTATGCCAAGGGATGTGGATTGGACATTTATGAAACTGTATCTGTGATAAACCTATTCAATCAATATCCCAATCAACATGAGATGTTCACTTCATGAATCACTAAATCTATATTTCTTCATGTTTCCAACAACTTGCATTTGTGACTAGGCTTTTGCGGGTTCCTCATTCTCATCTTGTTTCTATAAGAAGCCCCTATCATCCAACAAAGCAAACATGAAAATGACCCATTACAGAATTAATACATATACAGGCTAACACATTTGAGAGATCCTCTTACTGATGCTCCTAGTGGAATTCGAAAGGTAGAGGCAGTAATGGAAATTGTAATGGTGATGTCATCATCACTTTGAAAGTCATGGAGCCCTTAAGATATTATTAAGTGAGGTGGTGGNCTGATGCCCCTAGTGGAATTCGTAAGGTAGAGGCAGTAATGGAAATTGTAATGGTGATGTCATCATCACTTTGAAAGTCATGGAGCCCTTAAGATATTATTAAGTGAGGTGGTGGCTGTGACAGCAGAGGTGATGGTGCTGGTGGTGGTAATTCACTAGAAAAAAAAAAATATATATATATATATATATACTTCTGGCGCTTTCCAAGTGCTACCTAATCTGTCCTTTTTAGCAAGTAGAGTTTGAAACAAGCTGCATTATTATTNATATATATATATATATACTTCTGGCGCTTTCCAAGTGCTACCTAATCTGTCCTTTTTAGCAAGTAGAGTTTGAAACAAGCTGCATTATTATTTTGCTATCACGAGGTAGACTGACATGGTCTTCTATATTCAGCCGTTGATTTTAAGGATTGATTGTAGCAAGTGTTAAGGAAGATTGGACTAATGTGAAACATATGGTCATGGATCAAATTGTAAGACGGTTTAAGCTTGAATTAATGGGTAGATCGCTTATAACAATGGTTAGAACAGTTGATGCAGATGCTGTTGAGTGCTATATATAAATAAAAAGAAATTGACAAGTATTTGAGCATCAAATTCAAGTAATAAGGCCCAAAATTAGGGGAAAAGAAAAATAGAAAACGAAAACCTGCATTAGAAGCTTAATACGGTCGAGAGGCGCAGTGACGGACTTTGCAGCGGCACCGGCAATTGCGCCGGCGGCGAACAGCGCCGCATCTTTAGGAACCAAAGCAACCAAAGCTAATGGATGCTTCAGGAGCTGCGCGGTTGTTGGCTGCGCCACCAACTCTTTCTTCTCCGCCAACGAAACACAAGCAAAATTACCACTACGGAAACTAACACTATCATTGCTAGTACCAAGCCATTTGTGTGGCCAATGGTCTTCGATTCTTGTCGGTTCGAGACCAGGAATGTCTCGCCAGACCAAAGTTGCTCGGTCCTTTTTCATTTTTGTTGAGATCTGAACTTTGAACAGAGGAAAACTGAGAAGGCTTTGGTGTTTCCTCTGTTCAAAGAAGATAAGGTACTCAGACGAACAGAAATACGTTACAGAGAGAAGGAAGAAGACAAAGGGAACGGAATCGAACGCAGAGTTTGAGTTTCAATCCGTTCTGCTGCTGTTTGTTTTGGGTTACGGGGGCCACTTTGTCTGTGTGACACTGACACGGGATATTTCATTTACTTGTATGTTGAGTTTTTCTTACTTGTATAATGGGGTAATCAAATGTGATTAATCAACCTAACCTTTCTTAATTATTAAAATAATATCTTGTTGAAGGTGTTTTCAAAATAAAATTTTTGTGTGCAAAACTTGTATAAATAATAGTGGAATAAAAACATTTACTTATCTTAAAGGAAACATTATTGATGCAGCACGTATAATAGAAGACTACATGACAAATCAAGATCATCAAAAATAAATGTTGATGGGGTACTAATTTTGGACGATAATGTCAAAAAATCTAATAAGACCTCATTTTGAAAAGCTCTCGACGGTCTGAATAAGATTGGCATTCAAACCAATTATTTTTAGCCAAAAAATGATGTTTATAGCATTTTTTTTAGATACTTTCTTTTTTTATCTTGATATTTGGAGATTTTTCATAATATTGCGTATTTACTTATTTTTTCTAGTATTTATATTGTGTTAAAAATTTATTCAGCAAATTTTGGTTTATTTTGAATATAATTAAAATATGAGTTCTCTTTCAATTCTCAATTAAGTTTTTTTTTTTTTTAGAAATCAACAAAACCCTTGAAGTTTGTAATATGATATTATTATGATAATCAATCAATTATAATTTTTGTTATTGAATCTCGTTTCTTTATTCATACCTTCTTATTTCAATTATGCACAATGACCCAAAATACAATGTGGCACCCTTGCCCAGGCAAGAGGGACGATTGATGATACCCTTTGAATGTGAGTTGTTGCCTACTAGATACAATTACGCCAACATGGTGCGTCCATCATAAGTGAACAAAACAGTTTAGTCAACGGTGAAGACAAAATTATATTCTATTATGTTTATTTCGCTTTGCATTTAAAATTTTGAAGTGTTACAGAATTAGAATTTCATAATTAGTATT